TTGATGCGCGCACGATCCTCAGCGCCGCGGCTGCGGAGAAATCGGGTTTTTAGCCGCTGGGCCGCCGGAGCGGACATTTGGAGGGTGTACGCAAGTTCTCGTGCTCAGGCTTGTCCGGCTCTTCCTGCCTTTAGGAAAGAAAAGCATCGTTCTCTCTCTCTCTTTCTATCACTCTCTCTCTCTCTCCCTAGATCGAGCTCCACCTCAGTCGACGATACCAAAAATCCCTTCCTCATTGCCCTGCTGCTGCCCGCCCTAGCACATCGTACGGAAGAGCAATTCAGATTTTCCAACACTTGCTCCGAGGTGTCCGGCTCGTGCTCATTCGGGATCTTAGCAGCCAAAAGCTCAACCCGGAAATTGGAGCTTCCTGCTTCGGCTTTTTTTGTACACTACCGTATTCGGCCGCTTAAGCGTATTCTTGCGTAATACTCCATTTTGATTACCCTAGAATCATTCAAATCTTTGCTAAGCGTCACTACCGAAATGACAGTATGGCGACATTAACGCATTTAATTTGTATTTCTTCACGTGTTATTACGATTACGATTAAGAGTATTCTAACGTCTACTTCCTCTAGCCTTACGGTACCACTTCCTGCATCCATTCATACAATGCTGCATCCATTTTCCGTTATATCCTTTGAGCATGAGCTCGATCCTTGAAACCGGTCCCAAACCAACTGATCGATTTCGAAAATCTTTATCACCCGATTTCGTACTTACACTGAAATACTTTGACGTGCGGTGCCGCAAAATCGCTCGTACTACACCGCGCGGTTGCACTATTCGATCCATCATCACCTTTTTTCCACTCGCTCTCCCCATTCCGGGGTTGATACTCCTTACCCTGTCCTGAGCAGTCCTGCTACGCGACGTCACACTGAACCCTGGGAAAGGGAGATGGCCTAGCGGGTCGGGTCAGCGAGAACTTATCGGTGATGAGGTGGTGATGGTGATGATGATCACAATCATGCACAGATTTGATGGCGAAGCGTATTAGATCGCGCTGGGCAAATAAACTGCTTGATTTCGGTGATGTAGATGATCCGCGAGTTGAAAACTTTTTTCTGACGTAATTGGGCTCGTTTTACCTTAGGGCGTTGTTAAATTCGGTGATACCTCAAAAAATGATCAAAAACGAGGTGCATTTGAAGAACGCGCTGGACTCTGTAGATGATCATCCTTCAAAGTTGCATTTTACTCGATTTCATTTTAGTATTTAACGCCTTCATGAACGGTTCTGAATTCTGGACCTGATCTAAAAATGTTCGAAAATTTGGATACCCAAGCTGATCCGCGACTTGAATCAATATTGGACTTCCTGAAGTCGACGGCCCTATTACAGAATGCGAAAACGAACTTTGAAAAGTATATACAATATTTATTATGTTTTGAACTTGTGCGTATATTAAGTTCAGGTAATTTCACGTGGCGATAAGCTGCCTCTTTACATCAACAGGACACTTTCAGAATGGTGCATTAATACGGGGCTCAGCAACCCCTTGTTAAGCCCCTCAAACCACCCAAAAAACACGTTTCCGGTTCGAACCTTCCCCGGCGCTAATACGGCGTGTACGATTGGGTACAGTGAGCGGTGAACATCGCCGACAAATTGCCGGTCTCGACAACCCGTAATTCCCCCAAAAACGGGCAGGCTCCAAAAAATGGGGCGCCCCGCGGACCGTCGAGCTCAAATTTGTCCTTGTACTTGTCGCGGGGGCCGAGAGCCGCACTTTTTCGCGTTTCCACTATTCGATCAGGTCTGGAGAATGTACACGACAATACTTGGTGCGCCGTTTTTTTTCGGGGAGTGGCAGGAAATTGTGATCGATTGAGGATCGTCTGGAGTACTTTTCGATGATCAAAAATTGGGATTGACGAAATTGAACTGTTTTTAACGATTTTTTTGAATGTTGCAACTGGATCTATGCTTTAAAGGGGTAGAAACAGCGTGTGCGGGCCGTGCTGTGTGCTGCGTCGTGTTATGCTTTGCATGTCTTCTGGCGTGATGCGTTGCGTGATGCGTTGCGTGCTGCGTTGCGTGAGGCGTTGCGTGCCCATCGTGCTGCGCTGCGTACTACGTCGCGTAGTGCGTAGATAAAATTTTTACCCCATTCGAGAATTACGTATGTGAAAAGCATTCCAGGCTTTTTTTGTCTTACTCACTGCAATCCGATCTACCACCCTCAATTAGATACCGTAAAAAACTTACATTCGAATACCAAGTGCAGATTCTCCTTTTTTAAAGCTTTCAAAGCTTTAATTTGCGCAAATTGTCAATTTAAATGATGTCGTTTTAATTGATAGTTGTAAATTGAGCATTAGAGATGTTCAAAATTCAATTTAAAGCATTTTCAAGCGTAGGGAAGAAGAAAGCGCGAGACACGTACTTTTCATTCCTAGGCACCCCCTATTATCTCATTCGCCCAATTTCAAGTTCCGCTACTTACCGCTTTTTTTGGTTCAAATTTGCGGCTATAAGACGGCAATGTCCAAATTGAGCACCGTAGTCTGCCATTCAGGCAATTTCGCGGTGGGACACCTGCTTGCCAATTTCGTTCTCTTGATGCTAATGAATTTCCAGGGTGCGGTAGCTGGGAATTTTTTTATAGTAAGCGGTGGCGTACGGTAGTCGTTATTAGTTTATTAGTAGTAGTCGGTTGGGGCTACGGTAAATTCCAATTAGCGTGTCCTATGGCATCAGCGTCAGTATCAGAATTCCTCAAGCGTATTTGCTTGATTTTCCTGAAGTAAAACACATTTTGTAAATTTTAATGATCAGGTCGGTACGAATTTTTTAAAAGTACGGTAATTCCGGACCCGTTTTAACGTACTATACAGAAGTTATAAAAACCGTACTCCAAGCCTGAACCGTACTGAAATTTCCGATACTCCATGACCTAAACTTTCCGCTAAATTCCGCTTTATTGACATACTAAATTACCGTAACCCGAATCGCCGTATTACAAACCCATTCCTCGAATTCCTGACCTTTCCACCAATTTTCCGTTTTTCCGTCAGGATCCAATTGACATCCCAAACTACCGTACCTTGTAGCGGCGTGGCGCATTCCCTCGTAATTCACTTTTTCGCAGCAAATTGCTCCGCTCATTCCATAACCAAACTTTAACGAGGTTTTTTGTACTTGTTGCTGGTCGTAACCCACGTTTTTTGAGCGGTGAGTTGCTCTTTCCCGCGCCGTGCCAGTAATTGAGCGATAAGCCACACACCGGGGGCGTTTTTCTGGTTCTGAACTAGCGGTGTGAATACACGAAGTACGTGTTGCTGCCCCCCGGACGGGGCTGCGGTGTGTGCCCGCCCCAGCAAGCCACGCCCCTTTTCGGGAATTCAGACCTGCGCCCGGCAGTCACCCCGGAAAAATCTTTGCCCCGATCATTGACACTGTGCCCGGTCGCTGATTTTTTGGGAAAAGCGGTTGATAGGATTGTCTCTTCGAACTTTAAAGGAACCAGGAAGACACGGAAAAAATTAGCACGAGCTTTATTGTTTGACATCAGCATGAATCTTCTCTGCTCCATCATGCCTCGCCCCGCTCTTTGCTCTTTCTACTGGGCCTTCCTGATCCCTTTAAAGGACCGTCTAGTCGGATTTCACGTGAAAAACTCTTTGGAATGATCGCTGAGGGTTGCGTCCCAATGTAATAGATTTTAAAGGACCATTCAAGGTTCAATCCAATTGCTTATTCGGCAGATCTGCTTCTCAACACTTAGTTTACCTAGAATTTGAAATGTTAATAATTCTAACTCGAATTCGAAGCCCCTACTATTTTCGGTTTTCAAATCTTCCTAATTTTTGCATCTGATTTGGCCATTTTATAAAAGTACTCGCCTCCAAAAATTTGTCCCCGCTGACTGGCTGACACGGCGTTCAGGGTCTCTGGTTTTTGGGGTGATTGCTGATAGGGGAGAGTTCAGAACTAGGCCCTTCAAGCTGAAGCATCCAACTGAGGTCTCTTTTACTATACAAAATCTACTTTACTATATATCTTACAGCTTTTTTATTTTTTGTATGCTTTGTTTTATCTTTGCTTTGTTCTTTGCTCAAAGCATTTCTTGTCTGGAATTTTCTGATATCCTTCGCTTTTTAGCACTTCATTTCTTGCGTTGCATTAATTCTGCAGGTACCTGTATGATCCGTTAGAGCAAAAATGGAATTTTGCAAAAAAATCTGATTTTTATAGTTTAATCTTTACAAACGCTTAAAGTTTTAAAGGCACCCGGTCTTTGCGACTTTTGCTAAAATTTCTGGGAATTTTAACGCCCCGATTAACATCCATTTCCCTGCCTCAAGCTCTTCGCGAATCCCACCTCCGATTTTGGCGCCCCGATTTCCTGTTTGCCTTGATAATCTGATACAACTTGTTGCGCTCAGTTTCCACTCCCGTACCCTGCAACAGTAGTTGAACCAGGGAACATATCCGGTTTCACCAGAAAAACGGTAATCTGTAAGTTCAAACCTCTTACACCTTTTTCGTTTCTACCCTTGTGCTCCGGGGATAATCGCCAAAAATCAGTTGTATTTGATGAACTTTGAACAAAATTTGACGGGATTACGGTATCCATTTTGCATCTAAATATCATTCTCAGGCCTCCTGGGAACGTTAAATTAAAATTTTAACACGATTTCAATAATTGTTTTCACGGTTGTTGAAAGGAAGTCGAACCTGTGATTTGTAAAAAGCCCGTTTTGTATCGTACTTTTTGGATTTTCTCGTAGTCATATGGTAGTAGTAAGTTCAGGATAACGAATTTAGTCAGAAATTCTTGGAACTGAGCATCAAAATTCCTCGATGTTCTTTGCTAGCTTCTCTTTGACTTTTTCGTATTTTTTTTTGAGGATTCTCCTGGCTTGACAATTTCCTGAAAAGGAGTAATTCACGTTTTCCTGTTTCTTTCTTGCTTGATTTTTATTTTCCGGGTTCTCCAGAATTTTATGAGACTTTCTTCATATTAAATATACGGTAATCTTTTCCAGAAAATGCACTCTACAAGCCCAACCCCATCGACATCGAGTATCAGCTCATTTATTTCTACAGGAACCCTGGAGTCGCCAACCGATTTCTCTCCGGTTAAGGTATGTATGATACTTAAACACCTGAAAAATCTAAAAAAGTAATTTCCTAACAAATTAAAACAATCCCTTTTAGTCTGGCTCCCCTACTGTCGAATTGTCCTGCCGGGTCTGCGGCTCCGTCCCGGCAATTCACGTGTATGGATCGTACTGCTGCGGGTATGTTGTTTCTTGTTTTCTAGCATTCTACGATACTCTATGCATTGGATTACGGTAGATGCATTTTTATGATTTTTTAGAGGCTGCAAAATCTTCTTCCTGCGCTGCGCCGTCGGCGGCAAGCCATTAATGTGCACAAAGGGTGGACGCTGTGAAGAAGGTATTTCTATTTTCATTTTATTTCATTTTAATTGATTTTTATTTTTAATCATTCTAATTCGACTGCTTGACTTTTTTATAATCCCGAAATCATATGCTTTTTCAGCCTCCGAAGGTGGCCTGAAAAAATGCCGAGCCTGCCGCTATCAGAAGTGCATTCGGGTTGGACTACTGCCAAATAGTGAGTAGTTTTATCGTTTTTATGCGTTTAAAGTATTTTAAAATGCCATTTAAATTAAAATAAATGAAAATTAAATGAATTCCGACGTTATCATCCGGTTAGGTTTTAATTGCAAGAAAACCGTTGTTTTTCTACATCCTAGATTTTTCTAAGCCCTACCTTTCGCTGAAGTCAAATGTGCAAGAAATATCGTATCCTTCCCAGCCCGCTCCCCCCGCTGAAGCTATATACAGTATTCAAGACGTTTTTAGCCGCAGCAACAGCTGAAACAGCTGAAACAGCTGAAAATTGGCAAGAACGAGCACTGAATGCGGCAGCTGGTTTTTGATGAATAGGAACTGCTAGCATGTTGGCCTCTTTAAAACGACTGTACGTCTTCGTATCTAAAGTACGGTGTATACTTTGCAACTTGTAGTGAGCAAAAAGTGGCATAGTAGCGAAAAACCCATTTAAATTCAAGATTAAATAAATTTATTTTAGTCCCCGGCCAGCGAGCGCAACGCCGAAAACTCGGCGAGCAAAAGCCGCAACTCGTCGGAAAAGTTGAGCATGTTCCGCAGGTAAGAATTGCTCGTATCATTGGAATTTTTAGATTTTCTGATAGATATACAAATTAATGTATGTTTTTAGCCATCAACTCCCTGCACTCCTGCCCGGTCACCGCAAAATTTCTGCCTCGAGCCCAACTACAAGGCCATGGCGATGACGCTGGCAGAGTTGGAGAGGTGAGAGAGCGAGAGAGAGAGAGAGAGAGAGAGAGAGAGAGAGCAAGAGAGAGAGAGAGAGAGAGAGAGAGAGAGAGAGAGAGAGAAAGAGAGAAAGAGAGCAAGGGAGCTGGAGAGCGAACAACGGGAATGTGAGAGAGCAATAATCGGTCCGCAAATGGTCTCGGCTAGCATTTCACTTATCGTACTGGTCTAGACAGTAACTAATGCGCTTTGACCAAATAAGTCTCAGCGCAGTGTTAGCGCCCCTTTAAAAACTCCTCTGGTTTTGGCTCATCACCAAGTGTCACTGCGACTTTAATCGTGAAAAATGGGCTTTAAACGTGCAAAAACAAAGCCAACCCGATGAACGCTTGAATTTTTCCCGTCAGCATCCCTTTAAATTACGGTAACCGTGCTAGATCCAATTTCTATCGTCATTTTTTCACCTTCCAAAACTACTCTCTAACAAACCAAGGGTCGTGTGTTATCGTCCCCTCCCCTAACTGCCATATAGACACAAACAAACAGTGCCCCGACGAACCCCGCCGGTATCGAGCCCCCTTCGCTCTGGTACGCGATAATCCGCTGTACACTCGGCAGTTTTTCCGATTTTTCCCGACCCCGCAGTGATCACCGCCAGAAACGGCAGTGATAACGCGGAAGTACCCGGCGCCGCTTCGAAATGTTGGTGTTCGATCGCTTGTTTTCCGCAAAGCTCCCCGGAGTTCAGCTTTTTCTCGCGTGGGAAAGCCTCCGAAATTTCCTGCATTTTTCGAGACCAGCGTGAAAGAACAATGCCCTCGGATTTCCATGCTAATCAGCGGGGTTCGAGGGAATTAAAAAATTGGGATCATGTAGCGTGGATGGGATACAGTGTAGTGGGAGGAGTAAAAACCGTATTTTATAAGAGTCTGGAACTAAGAACTCAAAATTATCGCTAATTTTCAGGAGTTGTGGAGCCAATGCGGATGAGCTGATGCAGAACTGGAAGCTGCCGACAAAGTTGAGCCAGGTAAGGCTTTTTCTAGGCTTTTTAAGTACGTCTTCGGCAAAAAAAAATTTTGCCACTACTCGTGCTCCTTATCTCGCTCTCCATCTCCTCTCTTTCGCTCTCGTGCTCGCTTTCTCTATCAAGCTCTGTCTCGTTCGTCTCCCGGTCTGGCTCACGCTATCTCTGGCTCTTTCTTTTGTCTCCCCGATCTGGCGCTCTTTCCCTCTTGCTCTTGCTCACTATCTATCCCTCACGCTTTATCTCGATATCTTTTAAAAACTGACTCTCTAGCTCTAGCTATCTCTAGCTACGTCTCTCTCTCTCTCTCTCTGTCTCTCTCTTGTCTCGCTCTCCCACACATCACACGTCCGGGACGCGTGTCGGGTTCCTAAAAAGTTTCTTGTTTCCTAAAAATTGTCCACCTACCGTATCCCAACCACCCTGCTTTTTGCAGAGCTCATTCATGCCTCGTTGCTGTGGCCGCGCAGTCGCTCACCTGGTCGACTGGCTGAAAGCAACACCGGAAGTTTGGGCCCTTGATGACCAGGACCGGGTACGTTTGGATACACTTTTACCTATGGTACCCCTGGGGCTTAAATGTAGGTTATGAGTGCAAATAAAAGTTAATTAGGGGTTCTTAGCCAAATGTGGCCACTGAACCACATATTATTGGGGGTGTCCGTACTAATTGTAAGTTTACTCGGAATGGGCAGAGTTCTCAACCCGTTCTTCCAGTATGTACTGGTTTGCACGGTGTGGTACAATTTTTTGGCAACCTCGGAATGCTTGGTTCAGCTTTGTGGCTACGCGGGAAAAAGAATTTTCAGTGTTTTCTCGTGGCGTACTGTGGGGCCGGGGAGACCGTGCAAAAATAGCAAGAAAATTCGGTTTAAAAAAATTTGGTGTTCAGATAGAGATGAGAATTCCGAAGCGTTCCAAAATACAGGAGTAAATCAAGTTAGCAAACTACAGTACCCTATTTTGTACAAAAATCCATATTTCATAGGGCAATACCATAAACCTGCTATGTTTCTGATGCGAAGGTTTATAGCCTGAAATTTTCAAAATTTGCATTTTACGAGCTGAATTTCATGGGATAATCGGAGCAACAGCTGACTTGATGAACCGTCTTGAGTCCGAAAAATGAAAAACGTAAAACTACCAACTAATGACTATACGTAATTTAATGAAGTAATCAATTAAACTCTCCAATTTTCAGGTCTACTTCTGCTCCCGGCTCTTCCCGATGCTCTTCCCGCTCCAACTCTTCTACTGCACCTACAAGCTGACCCGCGACGGGATGTTGAGCTGGCAGACTGACTTTTTGGCGCTGTATCCTGAGTGAGTTTTAGCATTTTAAAGGGAACTAAGAAAAAAATTGAGCCTAAAAAAATCTTGCCGTCATACTAATATAATAAGACTTGCCATAAAAACGGTTTTGAAACCACATGGAAGATTTAAAACTTGGCACCTTCTAATACAGCGTTTCCAGTACACGTCGATACCAAAAACCTAGGCTTCTAGCTGCTAAGAATGACTAAATACCTATTAGTATTTTTCCATTTTTATCGTTTTTTTTTTGCAGATTCGCCGAGGTCCTCTCCCCGGGTGCCCTGAATTTGCATGCACTCGTGATGCGCATGTTCCGCGAGCTCGGCCTCACCGATGAGGAGTACGCCGTCCTGAAGAACGTGATCATCTTCAGCAATGGTAAAGACATATCTTGAAAATAATATAGCTTTTTGTATTTTAGCCCTCGGCTTCTCCCAAGCCAGCGCGGAGATCGTCCGAAAAGCGCGTGTGAAGTATGAGGCAATTTTGGTGCAGGTAATAGAAGTTAAAATAAAGTTTAAAAATCAACCGTGGTATATTCTGAATCTTATACAATTGTTTTAGCTAATCCGTGATCGCGTTCCGGACGACACCACGGCACTACGGTACATGAGCGACCTGCTGACGTTGAGGCAGACGTTATGTGTAAGTTTTTGGCGCTTTGGAAGCTTAGAGACTGTTCCAAAAATTCTCTACTTAAAAATATATATTAAAAATATATAAAAATATAAAATACTTTAAAATTACCGTAATTGGATCATTAAACTATATTGACTATTATGTCTTAAAAAATCATTTTATCCTCTTTTTTCAGAGCGGCATGCTGAAAGAAACACCCTACTACACCCGGGCCACCGTCCTCAAGCACCTCTTCAGCCCGCAAGACGGACAGATCAGCCCGGAGATTTTTCTCGCCTCCCTGTCAACCTAATCTGCATCTATAGATACTCCTTAAAAATTAAATTAAAGTTATTTCATAGCTGTTTATAAGACTTTTAATAATATGACCCGAGGTGATATCAGTATTCTTTCCCGCTCCCCCAAAATCCGAATGCATCTCATATCCCGATTTTTCGTTGCCATACAATTTGAAAGTATTTCTGTATGTCTTTTGTTTATTCCGTGACGGTAATTAGATAAGTGTATTTTCGTGTCTGGTGAATTTTCGAAGCGGTGGCAATCAGTTTTGTGCATCATATCTATGTGGAAATAAATTATTCCAAAGCTTATAAGGTTGCATTTCTCACAAAAATGTCATAAACCGCTTCGCGGCTTTTCAACCATGGCTCCATTTAGGATCTGTGAAAGTCTGCAATTTGCATGCTGCTTCCCGAATACCGCTCAAAAATTCAAAAGCGCACGCTCTCCTGCTTTTTATAAGCGACATTCCTTCCGGCAAGGCTAATTGCTTTTAATATATAAAAAAATAGTGTCTGTGTGTGTGTAGACACTTTGCATAAAAACCCGGGTTCCAGCCATAACTCGAAGGGGAAAGAATTTTTTCGTCCAGAATAAGGTAATTAGGGGTGGTCGAGGGCGTAGATTACTGCACGCTTATCAGATTTTTACTAAAATTTCGTTTTATACATTATTTTAACGTTTTAAAAACATATGGAAATAGACTAATTTGCATACGAGGCGCCAGGAGCCTCATTTTGGCTTCTGTCGCGCTCTCAGTCGGTCGCTTTTGTGATTATTAGGGTTGAGATGTTGGCGCTAATTCGCTAGAATTATGCAAAGCGCCCAGCTTCGAGAGATCTCCGCGCAAAGGCCAGGGGTGAAAAGCCGCGTAGCGGGTTTTCAACCCTGGTTGCTTTTAAACAAAGAAGATGGCAGAGAATTTTGCAAATCCCAATTTTAATGTCGGAAATGGCAATTTTTCAAACCTTTGATATGTGTGCAGGCGATTACGACCCCCTTCTTTACCTAGTGACGTTTCTTCCCTAACCAAAAAAATGCTTCCGTGTTGCCCAAGGCCCTAGGCAACGTTAGATAGATGAGTGGAAAGACCGTTACCGTTTCACGAGGATTTTTGAAAACCTGATCTAATATAGTATTTGCTGATTTTATAATTCTTCTGTCAACGTTTGTTCATTCGGCAATTGACGGTAGGGTTCTATGCGACGCCACCGATACCTGGTTGTTGATCGGCGATGGTCGTGGAATTATGCTAAAGACACTATTATGCGTCCAAGAATCTATACTGACCCAGCGATTTTCGCAATTTTTTCGCGCATATGCCGACGGTAGGGCTCAGTGGTTGTGGCCATCACGATGGATGCGATCAGCGCATGGCACGAGTTGATGAACGTGCCAGCATTGACGATCGCTTAAAAAATGTTACCGCGTTTCCACCGGGCCTCAAAATATCTACCCCATTAACTCCACCTGGGAGGGGTTGGAGCAAAATGGTAGTTAAAGGGCACGTTCATGGACGTTTTTGGGCAAGAAATGCCGCGGCCGGGGGTCGAACCCGGGCCCCCGTTCGGGAGTCGCGGATGCATACCAGTCAGCCACAGGTGCAACCTGGCGAGACCGAGAGGCGCCCCACCCCGGAAAGGAGAGGAGTCGCCTTCAGGCCCGTAAGAGGGGGGCGAGGGGGCGAGCCGCCCCCCCGAAATCGGCCGAAGGCCGAAAAGTTCATAAGGGGGGACCCTTATGATTTAATTTTTCCAAAAAATTTTTTGCCTGCGGCGCTGTTTTTGGCTATTTTTCACACTAGTTTTAGTGTTATAAACCCTATGTTTTCAAACATTTTGCCTGCGGCGCTGTAGTTTTAGTCATATTAATGAAAATTTTTTGGGGTCGCCCCCCCGAAATTTGGGTTTGTTACGGCCCTGGTCGCCTCCCACGGCACGGGCAGGCCGCGGGCGGCGTCCCTACGTCCATAGGATGTACACGTTGGGACGAGTATACGGCCCCTCCCTGAACGTGCGCTTTAAACCATCCAACAGCCCTCAAAACGGCGAGCTTCGACATTTTTTTAGAACATTGCTTGTAAAATATATTGCTTTGAGCAATTGCAAATGCTTGGGTTTGAAGGTCGTTGCAAAATCGTCTGTTCGAGGGCTTTCGGGTGATAAAACTAAGATTCTGATTTCCATCACACGCGTGATGGAGATTTCGGTTTTGATTTTGATATCGAACATTTGACTTTTGTCAAATTCCACTTTGCCGAAAAGTCATTTTGCCGACAGTTGGCTTTGTCAAATTTTAATTGTCGACATTTGATTTTATCCAAATATCATGTTTTCGGTGTTTAAATTGTCGAATCTCAATACTTTTTCGCCTCGGTTATTCATCTCAAGCATTTCGCATTGAATTCAGCGCATTGAAATTTCGACCAAATAATTTTCGACAAAATACTATTTAGACAAGCAGAGTTTTGATAAACTGGTAAAAAATCCATTTTACCTGGGTCCCAGGAGGGCCCGAAAAGGACCAAAAAGATGTTATACGCCCAGGGCCCGCCAATTATACCAATCGGAAGAACGACCTGAAAAACGAGCGACCTTCTAAAAACCTTCGAAAAAAGCAAAACCTGATACATCAGCGAAACAATCAATTTACGATGCAGCTTCTTGGTCTTAGAGCTCATCGAAGTAGATGTACGGAGAATGGAAAAGCAATGGGTGATTGTCGCCAAACTCTGAAATACTGGGGTATTACGCGTATAATTCGCGCGGCCCCGAAAGTCGATTTTGCGCCAAGAACATTTGGTTTTTCTCAAAAATTTTCTCTTTCTCGGAACAAAATTGATTTTTCGGAATTTTTAGGGAGTATCTTTTCTCTTTTCAAGGTTGATTCGATTCCAAAACCGCCGATTTTTGATTTCCTGGGCCCTTTAAGGACCTAGTAATGTTTTTTTAAGGATCTAAAGATCCTTTTTAACGACAGTTATAGTGCGCGAAGACGTTGAAAAACAACAAAATTATGCAGGGCGGATGCCAAGCGCTTTAGATCAGTAAACCCCTTGGTTTTTCGAGAGCATTTCGGCGGCATAAAAAGCTTCCCATTCCGACATTTGTTTGCCTTCTGCCAAGTCTTATACAAAAAAATTGAGACCGACCAGTATCACTGCTTCGACGATCATGAAGGTGATCAAGAGAAAACAAGTATGTTGTGCCGGGAGCCCGATTATGGGAAGTGGCGGGCTGTACTTGGCCCAGAAGCCCGGCTCGGCGTCTGCGGCGAAGGCAAAGTAGGGATACATCTGAAAGTCAGGAATGCAGTGTGCCGGGTTCGGCTTTCTCAACGTCAAAACGTGGCCAACTTTTATCAAAAAATTCCAAAAATATCGATCTTTCGACAAAAAATGTCCGTGTTTTGACCGAAATTTCTATTTTTGAAATTTATTTTCCAAGTTTTTGATAGTTTTTTATTTAAAATAGAGTTTTATTTGCCACAAACGTCATGAAAAACTTCCGATTAGGTTAATAGGAATTTTTAGATAAATACAACCCCCCCCCCCCGATAATGCGCAAGAACCGGTATTAACATGCTACCTGTATATTCAGCTGCATAATCCTTCCGGGGCCAAATTCCTGTTGCATGTACGACGCCGATAAGGCAAAGCCGCCTTGGATAACCACGAAATGCACCGCAAAAAACAGCAGCCACGTCTCGATTTTCAGCCTAAACGGGACGGGGTGAAGGGGTTGATGGTATTTTTTGATCTACAGCGCGAAAAATCGCCTAATACTAAAACTGAAGCGACCTCGCTCGATGTTCGGCGCCAAGGATCAGGCGGTGTCGGTAGATGACGCACTGAAAGACTGCCAGAGCGACAAGCATTATCAGCTCCCCGGTGACCACCTAGAAGGCGATGCGGGAACGACCTTATAACCGGTAAGAATTTACTATACCCCTCCCCCCGCACAGTCGAAGGGTCTCAAAATTTTGGATATTGGCCAGGATTTTTGCCACTCCGTTCGATAGAGCATTGAAAAATATGCACAAAGTTTTAATTTGAGCCTAAAATTATTTAAAATAAAAAAGTTCTAGCCAAAACTTTCTGGCTGGGGGAAGTATAGCCTTAAATCCCGCCAACCGGAAGGTTCCCAATTTTTTTAGGATTTCGCATGAGGCCGTTGCGATAATATACCAAAAACAACTGTACCCACATCACATTAATTTAGTGTTATGGCACGTTGACAGGTGTGTGGTTCTCGTTCGTTGCTGAAGGCAACCTTCTAACAAGGAGACGTTTTTGAGTGTCGGCGTGACTTTGAGATGGGACCAAACCTAACCTGTGCAAAATTTTGCGCTGATTCCTGACATGATTACAGTTTTTGCGGACTAGCCAATTTGCGAACGTTATAGACAATTTAAACCTTCAAAAATCCAAAAATCGGCTTCTTTCGATGGGCATAAAGGGCTTCGGAAAATGCTTTAATAAATACCGAATAGTGCATCTTGTTCACCGAAAATCCTTGAATTTTTTTAAGGCTCGGGGTGAGGGATAAAGTAAACGGTTGCCGAAGGCTAAACTCTACAAAAAAACTGACAAAAGCCAGGATCAGGTTGATGCCGAACACCGTATAAAAGGGGCCCCAAAGCCTGGCCATGAGGGCCGGGTAAAGCATTTCCGCCGTCACGCCGTGTAGCATCAGCTCGGTGGCCACCGACCACGTCTGGAAAGACAGGCTTAGTTTGAAAATGTCGAAATTCATAAGTTCGAAAGTCATAATGACGAAATTTCGTAATGTCGAAATTTCATAATGTCGAAATTCAGGATGTCGAAATTTACATAGGCTAATATCCCGGTGGAACCCCGGATCCTATGCAAAAAAAATTCGGCATTCTGAAATTTCGACATTATGAAATTTCGACATTATGATTTTTGAGATTATGATAGCCATTCGGAAACGATGGCGCTCTTACGAATTGGCATTGTCAATCACCTGAAACCACAGCAAGAAATATTTATATTCCCTCATCGATGCCGGCGACGCAAAGAGAATCAAATAAAAGGCGAGCCCGTTGAAGATAAATCCCAGATACATCGACACCGGCATAGCAGCGAGAAAGAATGTAGGGTCGCGATCCATCGGAACTTTTGCCGCTTTCGCCGTCAAGGAAACAATAGCAAGAAAATGGCGAATTTTGGATATGTGTGCCCGTGTAGCCAGGTGCTTTTTGGGCTTTTGAGCATTTAGCGCGTCCTTGATTACAGGTCCAAAAACACCCGCTCCAATGCGACGCAGAAGTATCCGATCGGAACGATAGTTACACTATTCAAAAGTTCTTGAACCGGTGAGTTTGCAACAAGCTTCAAACCTATGTTTTTGTTTCGGTAATTAAGTATACATATAAAATATATGAAATAAGTAAGTCAGAGAGAAAAGATAGACGAGGTTATTTATCAAAAGGCCTGATCACTCTATTTCCTCGTATGGATTTTGATTTTGATATTGATGGGCTTCTGCCAAAGATTCGTCTGACATCTCGGTATTGGATGGCGTTAGTTTTGACAATTCTTGTAGTGACTCGGCGCAATCCTAGGGACAGCGTATTAGCTACAACCTACAAAACCGTACCTTGAATGTGGGCCGCTCCGTGGGCGCCAGCTTCCAGCAGCGCTCCATTAGGGTGTACCTGAGAATTAACATGAAATGCCAGTTTTGAGGATGGTGCGTCGGGTGCTTAAAACGGTTCCCAGACGTTGCCATTTGCAATCAGAATGGCAAAACGCTTTTTTCCGAAATTTCAATTGGTCGAAAATCATAGTTTCAAAACTTCGCTAATTACGCCAGCCACCCCTTTAGTTACTGAAAAATAGCATACAAAAACGTAAGTTTATGGAAAAAAGTTCCAATTTTCGACCAGGGTAAATTTCAACAAAGAGACATTTCGGCAAAGTAAAATTACGACAAAATGAAAATAACAGACTGAATCCAACATTTGCGATACTGGGGCCTCGAAATAGCTTTTGGCGAAAACGAGATACCATCTATTCTTGAAACCTACATAGCATCATCAGCGTGGGGCGGACGCGAGCATCGCAGTCCACCCTGCAGGTCTTCTAGGTACACGTCCTTGCCAACGTACGGCTCCGCGCCAAGCGAAAAGATCTCGTAGAGCAGGACGCCGAAGGACCAGACGTCTGACTGAAAGGGGGATTTGAAGAGTCTTTATCAGCTACGATTTACCGCCTGCGTGTAGCGTTTCGTCGCAATCGCTTCGGGGCTCATCCAGCGCCAGGGCATCAATTCTCCCGAGTTTGGAGCTTTCCTAAATGGATCATTTTTGAAGGTGAGCTAGCTAATACTTGTAGTATTCATTCTCCATGGGCTTAGCTAGCCCAAAATCTGCGATCTTGCAGATCTTGTCCCGGGTCACCAGTACGTTCCTCGCGGCCAGGTCTCGGTGGACGCACTAAAAAGCATCAAAACTATTCCGTTGCGGAAAAAGAGAGAATGAAAGAGAGAGAGAGAGAGAGAGAGAGAGAGAGAGAGCAAAAGGGAGAGAGAGAAGAGGGAGACCGACCGGAACATCACTCAAAAAAGCCATTCCGCGGGCGATTTGGGTTGCAAATGAGTAGAGCTCGGCAATTACGCCGACATCCTATAAAAATATGACTTCGGTTTCCCCCAATAAAAGTCGACTGACATGCGCCTTCATTAGTGGAGCTGCTTCTTCAATGTCGACAACGGGTTGCTCGGCTTTTTCCGGTTGCTAAAGAATGTTTCTACCAAATTTTCGTGATGCTACCTCTGCGAAAATTGTCCGGAGGACTCTCGTAGGCGATTGGTATCGCGGCTAAATGTATTAATAAAGCTACAAAACGGTGAAAAATGATTCTATCTGCGTTTCTGCAAAGACTTTAAATTTCGACCTCTGCCTGTAGGCGCGACTGCCTTCCAATTTTCTTAAGGTAGTAGAGAAGGTTTCCGAGGTCGCAGTACTCTAGCACGATGTAGAGTTGCCCCCTAGACACCCATACAAAATTGAACAGGTTGATGTACCTTCCCATGTCCTTCGTTACAGCACCCACGAGCGGAAGAACATTTTCATGCTCGCCAATGGCACCCATGATCTTTAGCTCGTCGGCGAGCATCTTTTGTTGCTTGGTGTCGTATGGGTTCCGGGCCATCTAAGGCCATTTCTGATCAAACGTGAGATTTTTGATACCTTGACCGCTACTGGCACTTTAGTGCTATCTTTGGCGCTTCGACACCTCCACTGGCCAAGCTTGACAATGCCAAAGTGGCCGAAACCAATCTAAAAATCGGGACGTGATCACGTTGTGGTAATCACTTTTGATATTAAATTTACCTCTTGCCCGAGCACCAAGTCGTCGCGCGAAATCTCGAACCGCGCCGACTCATAGGCCAGCTTGTCGACCTGTTGATCCATCGGGGCGTCGATCTCCTTCCGAAGTGTCTCCCACGTGTCGCCTTTGTTCAACAGCGCTAAGCGCATCTCGGAGAGCTCACTGAAGACGTGTTCGTTTAGGTATATTAATTAAAAAGCGACAAACTCACAGCGACAGATTGTTGAGTCGACGCTGATGCACATAATGTTTCCCGACTAAACACGCGATTAGGCACATGCAGGAGCAAAACACCAGGGCTATGGCGAGCAGAGCCCAGGGGCCCATTGTCATTGGTGCACCCCCCACCTAAAATGGGTTTAGTGTTTAGCATTTGCCCCTAACTAAAGTTCATATCACCGCTGAAAATTAGTGCCTCGTATGTCGCGCGCGTGGTTAATTGTAACATGTTTTTATAGGATAGAAATTCCATTTCGGATCGATCGTTTCCTGCGCAGAATTTTTCCCTGATTGCGGATTCGCTGATTCTACAATTTTTTTAGATGGATTTAAAATCACTCATTTTGGGCTAATTGGTGACAAAAACCATTTTCCCTTGAAACCGGACACTTCAGCAAATTTGCTGAAAATATTCGGAGCCAGCGAAAAACCCTACACAATGAGGTTGGGTACTGAATAAAATTTCCAGGTTGTATAAAGAGCTTTACAGCAAGCTCTAGCCCGCCACTAACATTGCGTGCCCTTACGGCCGTAACCCGCGGGCCCGATGGCTCCCGTAATTCTCCGGGATTTTCCTATAACAGAATAAGAAAATCCCGCACCGCCAGCTTCATAGCAACTTCCTTGACCATGCCTCCGTGTTCCGCATTGCATACGTATTGGCCCGCATCATCGATGCCGACTTTGGAAAAGACCAGACGCCGAGGATCATTGGGGTCTTGCGCCCTGGGCGAGACCTGCTCCCCATCCTTGGTCCTAAAGTCGTCAAGTCCTTTAGCCCCTCGATTTTCCTCACCAAATGATCTTTTGTGGGTCGACGCCGGTGATGGGGCAGAACAAGCTACCCTTTTTGGCGTAATCCAGGAAAAACGGTCTTTCAACGATTTCGGGCGCTTGTGGTGTGACAATCTGAAGAAATATGAAGAAGTGACCAAAAAAGATCACGCTTTTAGCTTTATCTAGGATCAAAATCTCAGTTCCCGGAGTCTTACTTTAATATATTGCGTGCCAATCGAAGTTTTCCTGCCACTTTGAACCAGTAAGCACGCGTAGATGGCTTCATCGCTTTCGGAGACCCCCTATCAGAAAATTTTTATAGTTTTCCCTAGATCTTACTGTTAAGGTGAGACTGTTGAGGAGTGTCAGCGTACCGTGCAGGGTGCCAGAATCGATCAGGGTGCCGTTTCTCGACCACTCGAGTCTCCTGAAAAGGCAATAAAGCTAAGTTCATCAACTTTTCTGCCGGGATAGCAGATGACCTAGGTCTCGAAGCCGGCTGAATACCCACTCTCCTGTACTTTTTGCTGCCTCGCAACTCAAAGTTACATCATCGCCAACTTGTATGATCTCCTAGAGTCATAATAAATTTGAAGCAGTGTTTTTTTTACTTACGGAGTCATTCCTCCGCGACTGCGAGGCGTAGCGAGTAATGTTAAACCACGTTCGGGGAGGTGGCGTCTTTTTTCGCATTTGCTCTGGGTGCTGGAAGTTTTATTTTTTATTTTTTTTGGAAAACGCGCAAAGCCGCTATGGCTGAATGCCTCGGCCAACCTCAAGTACCGCATCGACGAAGCCCAAGATGCTCTCTTCTGCCAACTAAAATTTTCCGCTCAGTGGGCCGAAACTTCGTAAGATAACTCACCTGAAGCGATTCCTCAGACTCATAGTTTGGTGCTACCTACAACGTGCTCATTAACTCGTCATAGCTTATCTGATTGGCATCCTTGGTCTCTCTCCGTGCACAAGGCACTAAACTCTTACTCACCATTATATTCTGTTCCCCCACGTACACAGGAAATTCCTCTTCGAAATGCCAACATTCATAAATACCACTGTCGGCGACGATAGCGCTCTAAAGCGATGCCTTTGCAAAATTTTTCACCCATTTCTACCTGCAAAACGATTGAGCTGATGAGGGTCATGGGCGTCAGTAGCGTTTTCGTGATAACGTCCTTCCCGTTTTTTGCCCAGTACAGAGGCCTGGAATTTTAAGTGCCGTGTATTTACTTGTTGCTTTCAGGGTAGGCTTTCAATGAATAGTAGATGGTAGTTTAGAGTTAAATTGGCGGGCGAAAACCCACTCGCGGTTGACGCGCGGCACCTCACAGGTAAGCGTTACTTCATCGCCGACTCGGATTATACCCTGAAGCCATCACCACTGGTTACCGGAACTGTCGTACCGTTTCATTTCTGGACAATCTCGACGTGTAACGGGTGATGTTATACCAGACTCGTGGCGGCGGCGCCGTTTTCCGCATGTTTTCGGGGTGCTAGAACCATTCGGGTTTTGGCGCCCACTACTACCGACCTCAATGACTGCATCGAAAAAGCCCAGAATACTGTCTTCTGCCAACTAAAATACCGGGATTAAGAGGCTGTTCGCAGCAGGTCACTTACCTTTCGAGATTCTTCGGATTCGTAGATCGGACGGACCTAAAACCAGAATGCGTTGATTGGTCTGACGCCTAGGGCCCTGCCTTGATGGTTTCCCTTCCAATCCGCACAGTTCTACCGTCCTCGGTATGTGAACATTCGTAGTTACCGTTCACCGCCTCGGTGACGCTCTCAAACGACTTTTTTCAAAAGGTTTTTACGGCCTACTTTTAGGATGATTGAATTAATCAACGTCACGGTCCCTTGGAACGTTTCTGAGTCGATAGACTTTCCGTTTTTTGTCCAGCGCAATGGCCTGAAAGTTAAAGTAGGATTGCTTCGGAAAAGGCTAAAAGAACTACGAGCAATAATGTGTAACTTAGTATGCGGAATATCATTTCCTTTTTCCTTCTCCCCTGCTTATTTGGGCCACAAAAAAGTGCTGTTGCACATGGAAACCTACTCGCGGTTGATACGCGGAACCTCGCAGGTCAGCGTCACCTCATCACCAACGTGGATGGAACGCTAAAATTTTTTTAAACGACAGGCAGCCATCTCACCGAATGATTTCGGCCCTGCTTTGCGGCTTGCTTCGTAATGTTGAACCAGGCACGTGGTGGCGGGGCCATGTTCTTCATTTTCCGCACGTGCTGTAGTGAACAGATTGCACATAAGTTTTGAAGCGGCCCCGCCGCCGAGCTACTCTTCAAGAAACCTAACTCACCAAGGCCATGGTTTCCGCTGAAGCCAGCTTCACTTCGCTTATCTAATGAAAAACGGTTTCATGATCTTTCGAACGACCCTACGTTCTGGGTGGCGGGCATGAACACTTGCTTGAGGGGCAGGTCAATAGTCTCCGGTTCAAGGCTGTTACAACGGTGCTCGATCTGGAAAGGTAGCCAATTCTTGCGGTAGTAAATAACTCACCACAATGTATGGATCCGGCCTGTCCTTGATGAACAAAAAATCAGTATCAGAGCCGCAGCCATAAAGCGTGAAATAGCCGTCGGACGTTGTGTGCGTGACCCTGCAAGTTTTGCTGCAGAAAGAAGAATCGGTTAAAAAACATGTTCCTCAACGAAGCAATTCCGCGAAGTTCTTCCCGTTTGGGCTTCGACTAATGAGACTGACGGCCATGCCAAACACATGACTGAAATGCGCGGCACATCTTATTTTTCGAGTTGCGAAAAAGGCCAGCGTCGCAAAGATAACTTTGGCTTGCGAAATGCCTACCCCATCCAGTCATCCCAATCGAAGGCATTTCTCCACAGAATTGTGTCCGAATCCCAGAGCACTACCTGGAAAAATGCCGGCTGAAAATTGCAGAGATCGGATTTTAGATGGCGAAATGCCAGCGTGACTTTTTTTATTGGCACACTCTGATTTTATTAATTAAGAATCTCTTTCTCCTCGAATCACTCGCCTTTACATTATTATCCAGTGCCCGATCCGGTTCGCAGACTACCTTCCCGTGGACCGTCACGCATTCTTGTGTAGCGAAAGTAAGGCCGAATAACGACCACAGGTAGCATAATATCCGAAAAATAGACATTTGGCACATGGACGCCGGTAAGGGTTTGAAAAAACGGAGTGAGGAGTCGCCTGGGCTGTGAGCTGGGCCCCCCGATAATGAGGGCGCCCTTTTCTAGCGTCACAATTTGATTCGCAATAAGATGGGCTAAGAAACGCCGGATTTATTGACCGGACGGGTAAACAGTTCAATTTTTGATGCGATTATCACGCTCATGAATGAGTCAGTTTTGATAAGGTTTTGGTCGTAATTTCGCAAGCCCTGTTGCTTACACTTGTGTCTGGCACTGTCGCTTACTTCTGTAGCTTCCGAACGGAAACTCTGCGGTTGCTAGCTTGTTGGAAATTGTTGATAAGGGATTAAGGGGGAAAAATTTATGACGCAAGAAAACCCAGGTTATTTCATAAATTTGGTTATCGACGGTCTTTTGCGCACTAGCTGATGCCGAACCATTTTATCTGCCAAAGTCACGCAAAAGTTGTGTGGTCAAGCTATAACAATGGCTAATTAGTAGCAACAATAATGGTTTGAATCCGCAAAAACTTATTGAAGGTTTATTACTGTCAGACGCGATCACACGGAAATGTACAAAGAGACGGAAACGATTCGGTGACCCGTAAGTTTGAGCGACACAACTTCTGGCACATTGGTTAGTTCAAGCCGTCAATGTTTTTCTGAAGGCGGCGAGTCACAGGCTCCTGAAATTGATTGATTTTGAGTGGTTTAATAGAATCTTTTTCCTCGATTCACCCTATTTTTCGAGGCCTCTAGTATGCCAGAAAATACTTGCGTAGTTATCGTGGGTGTTGGCCGAGCCAAAGTAGATGCTATTTTGCACTTCGAAGATTTCGACTTTTGGTTTCGGCTCTTCCAATTCGAGCTGTTGGTTCGAGAGTTCTTCGAGTGTCATGACGCAATGCTAAAGTTCCAATTTGGCAAACGAAACATCCGGATTGCCTTGAAATTCGGACGTTTTGCTGGCGATAGTGCCCAGCAGTCATTCATGAACGCGTAGCTGAAAAAAATACGGTTTCTTCTGTCGGCACATCTACCCTTCTAAGCTACATATTCAAAACAAACTTACAAAGCATCTGTGGCATATTTGGGCCGTGGACACCGTAGCCCGTCTTTGATCTTCCCGGGAAGCACTTCATTCCCAACGCCCGGATACGGCTTATCGCCCAGCGTAAACATTTCGTAGAGCAGTATACCGAACGACCAGACGTCAGACTGGAAACTACCTAGCTCATTCGGATCAACCCGTTACGCCAGGTAAATCTTAACGCTTTCACCACAGCGGCCCGGCTCCTAATAAAACGTCCGGTAGCTTTGGAAAGGAGGGAAGAACGCAACGCGTGCGATCGACGCGTCGCGCAATTGCGAAAGCAGGTCTGCGCAGCTAAAAACCGGTTGCCATTCCGCGTACCCGCACGCAACGAGCCAAAAACACGCACAGTACGCCCTTTCCCTTGAACCATCTGGACCGAACCCATGGGCGGTTGTGGAATTAGAGAACTAACCGCTTGCGTGTACCGCATCGTCCCTAGCGCCTCCGGGCTCAGCCAACGCGTCGGCATCCTCTCGTCGGAGTCGGGGGCTTTCCTAAGTCACACAACGGTTTTTACGAGCTCGTATTTGCTACCGGTAATAATCATTCATCATCCGCTTGGCCAGCCCGAAGTCGGCGATTCGACAGGTTTTATCGCGCGTGAGCAACACGTTCCTTGCCGCCAAATCTCGGTGAACGCACTAAGGATATAGAACTCGGTACCCCGTTTGCAAAGCTCACCGGAACCTCGCTCAAAAAAGCCATTCCTTGAGCGATTTGGATGGCAAAATCGAGCAGTTCGCTGATGACATCTAGATCCTAAAGAACAAAGCTACAATTTTTTTGCTACAGCGGATGTGTCGTCGGGAAAATCGATTAGAAGAAAGGATCTGATAGCGTCGCACCTTTTGTATATCTATGTGTATTCTATATATCAATCCTTGGAGATATAGATCCTGTTAGTAGCTAAAGTAAACCCCGGGACTTGCCTGGACCGTGAGTAGTGATTCCATTTCTGCGGATGCGGCGTCTGCGATGATTTTCGGAACCGGGGGCCCGCTTTCGGTGGAACTCTTACGAGAATATAAGATAAAACAATCTGCGATTCTCGTTACCGAATTGAAGATCGATTCAAAGACCGTCGTCGGCGAGGGGTAGCGTGGCGACTAAAAAGCGAATGGTTCAAAGAGCTTTTAAGAACCGAATGACGATAAGGTTGCGTAAAATAAACCGTCAGTATCTTATGTTCCAGATGACCCATCATCAGTATATTGCCTCGTAACCTACCTCAATCGAGATCCGCGACTCCTTTCCAAGCCCTTGCACGTAGTGTAGTAAGCTGCCTCTTTCACAAAATTCGGTGACGATGTATAAACGACCACTAGAAAGCTGTTCTAGACATTATGATTCCTATTACGTGCGCATATCCTTTGTCACTGCCCCCAGTAAACGCAAAATGTTTCGATGCGGACGAATGGCGCCCATGATTTTCAGCTCCTCGGTGAGCATCTTCTGCTGCTTCGTATCTTCCAGATTCAGGGCCATCTGAAAATGGGTCACAATCTGGATGCATAAATCGCGATACCTTAACCGCGACGAGGACCTCTTCACCACCGCCTCCTGATATTCGAGGTTTCAGCCATCCCTTTTTGACCAGACCGAAATGGCCGGAATCAATCTGTCGAACCGGTACCGTTGGGACAATGAGTGCCTAACCGTGTCACCGATCCTCAAGTGGCGGGGCGGGATCTCGAAGAGGCTGGCTTCATATGCCAACTTTTCGACCTGCTGGTCCATGGGCAACATCTCTTTGCGGAGTTGATCCCAAGAAAACCCTTTGTTCAGAAGAGCCTGTTGCATCTCATATAGTTCCCTGAAATTTAGTTAATTTGGTTGGCGGAAGCTCCCAATCCCGATGAAGAAATCACCCCTTACCCGGTTCGGGGGCACATACAGGGTGTCCCGAAAAAGCACCCCTCCTCTTGCGGCGCGCAGTCGTGTCCGACTGTCACGATTTAGGTATCCATCGAAAGCTCTCGAAAAGGCGAGAAAACAAGGAGGGTTCATTTTCTTTATTATGTCTTTTTATTCACGCATCTTATGTCCAAAAACCCTCAAAGCCGCTGATTTAAGCAAGTTTGGCATGCTAATTGCGCAATTCCTGTTGAAAATTACCCGTTTTTATGCAAAACGTTCAATGTCGATGGAATGAGAATAAACCTTACAAAACCAAACCCGCTTGTTTTCTTGCTTTTTCGAGAGCTTTCGAATGGTGTAAAAATCCGTCCGATCGGAGCTTCCTCCGCGCCGCTAGAGGGGCGTACTTTTTTTGGGACACCTTGTAGACCTCCCGATTGCTACAACTTTTACCAAGGAAACCACACCAGTGATGATGGCTGTTACGGTGCGAGTCCAAGGAACCTACACCGTCAGATTTTTGGCGCGTTTCTGGTGCTTCCGGCACTTCGCGACCAGCAGGAAGATGACGAACAGACAGACCGAGAAAGTCGTAAAAGCCACAATTATCCAGTGCAATTCTATGGGCGGTGGCTTGATGAACTGAAATCGAAGTAAGACTGTGGTTTGGGGATCGGCTAAAATCTCGAATTTCGAGCATTTGGAAAATATAAATCCCGAATTTTCGGAATCTCGAGTTTGCAAAATCCCAAATTTTCAAAGCTTCGAATGAAGCGCGAAATTCAGAATCTTCAAATTTCAGTATCTTGTTTCCATAGCCTGAATCAACAGTAAGAGCTTCAGGAATTGCACGCTGGCCTGCATCCAGCCTATGCAAATTTTGAAAATCAAAAAAAAATCGTTATTCTAATTTGCAAGATGATGAAAACTGAGATTCTAAATTGCGAGATTCTGAGAATTCGACATTTTGATTTTCGATATTCTGCTAGGTAATCCTGTGTTTTAGTAGTAGCAACTAGTTGCAAATACTGCCCCGGAATTAATTTCAGTTTTTAAAATGGTAATGCTCGGACAGCCAACCAGTAAACGGAAGATCGCAGGAACGCCGGCAAGTTCGCAGGTGTAGTTCCCCTCGTGCTCTTGTGTGAATGGCGTCAAAAACAGGAGATGGCTCTGATTTCCGGTGTGACCGAGATGTTGCCCAATGGGTCCGCCATCTTTTGTCCTAAAACTTTATCGTTGACTGTTGTGACCGTATAGCCATCGGCATATCGATATCGGTAACCTGCAACGTACCACACTATTTGCTTGTTTGCCGCGCCAGGGATTGGACACCTCAGATTTACTATCTGGTCCGTCATGTGCGACGATGTGTGGGAGAAGGGCTCGATAGGCTCCCGTGCATTTACCTGAACAAGAAGAGGTCTGGTTCAGGCTTAGAATTTAGAGGTTTCGGCCATTTAGCTTTCTCGAGCAATTCCAATTCGATGTCCCAATCTTCGCTGGTCAGTGACGCAAGCCTCACCGTTAGCGTTTTCGCACCGACAAGTGTTAGTCGGCCTGCCGTATGCTGATGGCATTTGTAATTCCCATCGTCGGCCGCGGTAATGTTCTAAATGTTTTTCACCGCATTGTTCTGCAGGGTTTCTAATCTAACTCAAGACTTCACATTATCCCCCCACAGCCGAAGGGTCTCAAGATTTTCGGTATTTTCGCCTATTTTGTCGGGATTTTGACAACGCCATTCGATAGAGCGTCGAAAAATATATTAAGAATTGGAATTTGAGCCTACAATAATGTAAAATAAAAAATTTATGGCCAAAACATTTCGGCTGAGTGGGGGGGGGGAGGGGGGTAAAGTAACGTGTAGCCTTACCTCCAACCGGATCCTGTCGCTCCGCGAACCCTGCTTCAGCGGCGCGTCATTCTTGGTCCATTCCAGGTTGGCGCTCAAACGTGATTTTGTTGGGCTACTCTGTCCGTCCGGCTAGACCTTGGGACAAGGTAACCGAACACTATACGAAAAACGTGGGATGAGGAATTGATTTCCCTCGAAATTGCCCTTACCCTGACGAAGATCTGCAGGTGATTACGGCGGTGTCGCCGGCTCGGATTTGTTCCTGAGGATGGGTTTACTATGTAAGCCGCAATCGAAGCGCCAAAGGAACTTGACGTAGGAAAGCGTACCGGATCCATCCCGGGAATTAGGCCGCCGTCATGGAAAACCGACAAATCAACTCCTGACGGCCCCTGCTCCTGCTTTTTCTGAGCGTACTAAAAGAGGATCATCTCGAAATTCTTCAAAATTTGTTTTGTTCCTTTGATTCGCTTTCTATGAAAAATTCTACTAGTAGCGTTATAAAAACAAGGTAAAGCGCGCCAGGATCGTCAAAGAACAACTCTTAAAGGAACTCTTAAAAGCACACGAAAGGAGAAGCCGATCTGGACCTACCGCCTCCAGCATTTGCGGCGACGACAGTCGGATGTCCAGATAAACCTATAAAATTGTAAGTTTGGCAGCCAGGCGAAGACTTGCTAGATGCCATTTAAAGGGATCAGGAAGCCCCGAAAAAAATTTGGGGTTAAACGGGCTTCAGCTCTAAAATTCGCATAAAACGTCTCTGTTCCCTTCTGCCTGGCCCCACCCTTCGCTCAATTTTTTCATGAGCGTTTCCGTCATCCCCTCAATGGAAAAATACCTTCACTGGTTCGAACGTTTGATTCAGCGGCACGGTCAAGGTTTCGCCACCAGCCACGCCGTTGCAATTATGTTTTATCTAGGAATTTCCTTATTTCCTTTTTTCAATTTCATTCTTTTCAGCCGGATCGAGGTCCAAGCTAACACCTCACCTTGAGATAAGGATCCGGCCGGTCCGGGATGAAAAGAAAGTTAGGATCCATCGCGCAACCATAAACTGAGAAATTGCCGGCCGCATTTGTACGCGTGCTTCTGCAATATGAGAAATTTTGGAAGGCGGAGAGAAAGAGAGAGAGAGAGAGTGAGAGATAGAGAGAGAGAAGCTTAAAGAAAGTAGAGACAATTTTTGAGGCACAACGTGTCGCTTTCCAGCCGCTTACCCCATTAAATCGTCCTCGTTGAATCTCTGGATCCCCAGAAAACCGTCGGAGTCCCAGAGCTGCACCTGTAAAAATGATGAATTTCAACCTGGGGAAGTCCACGCCTTTCGGTGAAATTTTAGTCTTATTCAGTACGTCTTTCAGTTAAAACATTTGATAAAGCTGTAAAGCATGCCACCTGCCCCGCCTTCAGCGATAAGGGCCGCGTCCAGGAAGTACTAAAGAGCGAAGTATGCCTTTTCTAGCAGGGCCCGTTCACCACTTAAAGACAACACTGGCGTCGTAGGAGGCGCCGTAGGAAAATTACTCCGATTGCGATAAAAAAATTGGCTGTTTACCAAACCCCAAAAACAGGAAAAACTTTTTCCATAAAGTTAAGTAAGCTCTCGCCTCGACGTTAGCCGCCCGAGCCTCGTCATGACCGCAGCTCACTCTCCCGTAAAGGTCCACGCATTCGTAGCTGGCCCAGGCCAGGCCGAATATTCGCAGGAATAGCAGGCATATTCGAACCATCGGCCGAACAAGGAGGATCGATCCGGGTGAAGTGACGGCTATACTGCTGATAACGACCCTGCCGTTTTTTGGCGTTCGCCATTTTTTGGCGCAATATTATGGACTAAGGGATAGGCTGGTCTAACCGGATCAATCGATACAGTTTTGGGTGCGATAAGACTGATCGATGTCCGGCACGTCATTTTGTGTTTTGAAGCGGTTTGGTATTGTCGATGCGGAATATTGACGTTGAAACTAAGAAAGCCCAGATGAGCCAAATGCCAGGCTAGACAATTTTTGACGTTTGTTTCCAGGTTTGTGGGACCCGTCAGCTTTTCCGACACTCAAATACGTTAAGTACCACCTGATACCAGCTTATCAGTCTCTGACAGCTCTGACTCATGAGGTGTTCGATTTTGTGAATTGCTACGCGTCTTTTAGTGATCAATTCATTACGAGCGTTCGAAAACCAGGTGTGACGCATTCCGTGTGTGTCCTGTATGTTTACCATATTTCGGCGATCCAAAAAACCGGGAAAGCTCTCGAGAAGATGGAAGGCATTATGTTATTCCTTGAAGATGCTATAAAATCTAATAAAGTATCTGAGCATCACGAATGGTGGTAGAAACCCGGCGTAAGCAAAGTAACAATCACAATAGCACAATTGCACAATGCATCACAATACCTTGGCATCTAGTGTTCCGCGATATTTTCAGAACGCTTGACACCTAGTTACTCTTGCTCTATGGTTTATACCCAGGGCATCCGTCTTGATTATTGGGGTCTCGAATACAGACCACAACCGCCAACGGCATTTTGTGCGCGGGGTTGAGATAGAGCGTGCGGCGCACCTGAAAAATGTCTTTAGTAAAATCATAAACTTCAAATGTTTCCAGTAGGCATCGACTATATGGAAGCATCTGGCAAATTTTGAAAAATTCGTGTTGAGAAATTTTTATAGCCGGGACTGAATTAAGACCCGCCGCCTCAAAATCAGCCGCGAAATGACCTGACCTCCTGTTTATCCCCTAAGAACTGTTGTAGTAGGTCCATGCGCTTGACTTGGCCCGGACCACTGCAATTATGATGGATCTGCAAGTATGGTGTGAGTAGATGACGCAACTTAGATAACGGACGCCGTAGTAGAAGTAACGTTTACCTTTAAGTACGGATCGGGCTTATTTTTCCCGAACAGTCCGGGTAGAACGTCGGTGTCGCTTGCGCATCCATACAGTTTGAACTTGCCATCCTCGTTGGTCAACGTTTCCCTAAACAGACGCTTCATAAAGATCTAATCCGAATCCGTATTAATAATCCGTATTCGATCTCTAATCGTAGGAATAGTACCTCATCAAGTCGTCGTCTTTGAAGCCGAAGCGGTTGATGAATACATCTGCTTCCCAAAGTGCATCAGAATCCCAGAGCTCGACCTGAATTACAACGTTTCCGAGTGTTACATACGAAATTTGGACTCTTAAAGGAAGGTTCGCACGATACCGTACCGCTCGTAATCTCTCAGCCTAAATGTAATACCATACCTTCACCCCAGCAGCAGCTCCCGCATCATTTAAGCAGCCCACTTTGCCGGTTACCAAAACGCATTCCTGGTTACCGAATACCGGGGCTGCACCCAGCATAGCAACCAGCAAGATCGATAGCATTCTTGGTATACCTATAAACAAAATCTATTTCAACAAAAGCTAGGAATACCTCAAGGTCAAAACTGTAGTCCAATGTTAGCTGACCTTACACTCACTTACTTTGAATACATATTTTTGAAAGATAATTACTCTAGAGACGTGAGTGGTCACCGATACATGGATGATATCCTTATCCTACATAAACCTAATGTTGATGTTGTCAACTTCTTATCAAAAATATATCCTAAGGAGTTAACTTTAGAACAAACTAATCATTCCATAAACTGTGGCAACTTCCTAGATTTGAAACTTTATAGTCAAAACAATCTCATTAATACCGAATTGTATAATAAAGTAGATGACTATAAATTTATTGTTACACGCATGCCTAACTATTCATCTAATATCTCTTACGGTATTAAACATGGTTGCGTGGAAGGTGAAATCATTAGGGTTATACGACGTTGTACTCAGTTAGAAGACTGCCTCAAACATCTTCGACTTTTAATAACCCATCTTAAAAATAATGGTTATCCTAATCAAATTTTGAGACAACTTTGTCAAAAAAGTCCTCAAAAAATCTCCTTTACTGAGTCTCAAATATGACATTAACCCTAAAAACTTCATCCACCTTATCAACAACCCCAACTCTAACTAATTTATTTTAATCCTTTACTTTTCTTTTAGTTTTCTCTACCTTTCGTTTTCTAATTTCACTTTTCCCTTCTTCCTTTTGGCCTAACCTCCCATTACGCTACCCTACACACCACTCCTTTCGACACGGGCTTTCCCCGGCTCTCCCCGAGCTAAGGAAGCCTCCCAAAGAGGGCCAAAACATAGAGAAGGAAAACACTTAAAATAGTACACCATTTAAATTAGCTTCTTTTCCTTCTACATTTAATTCTTTATACTTTACTACCTAACTCTTCCAACTATAATCTCATCTAACCTCTTATTTAACCTCTAAAACGTCAGGGATCCAACTGAGGAGACCCACCCTGACGTATTTTAAGCCTGTCTTGGATTGAGGGTCGAAACAGGCACATCTTTCTTTCTTTATCCTCTTAAATGCTCGTTTACGAGTACCCGCCTCACCTTCATGGTGGGGTTTGTGTCCTTCTGGACAACCCGCTTGCTCTCGTAGCAAGTTTGTCCCTTCGGGGAACCGTTCGCTTCGGCGAATTTGGCCTCTTCGGAGGCATTCGCTCGCTTCGGCGAGTTCTTTCCCCTCGGGGATTTCTTTTCTTATTCTAATTAATTTATACATATTAGTTTATTGGTACGGGGGGAGCTATTGAAGCCAGGGAAGTGAAGCGGCCGATAAGAGGGACGAGTTTTTTACCCAAAATGCGATTTCCTTGCTAAGAGAACGGGGAATCGTGTTTTCGTCAGAAGACCATGATAGAAAGGTTTAGAAAAAAACCACGAAATTGGTAATTAGGTCTTATTCACGTCGATCCGTCAATAGGGACCAAGAAGGTTTCAGGTTTCGAGTTATTGACGACAACGCAATTCTTTTCTTGTTGAGGGGGTAGCAGTCGAGTGCTTATCAACGTGTGATGTTTTTTCGGTAAATGATACCCTGAGATTGTGAGCCCATTCCGGATGACGATGGCATGAAACCTTGCCTGTTACAAGCACAACATTCATAGCCGGCTAGCACCGGTGTTGCGGCAAACAAAAAATCGCGAAAATTGAGAGCATTTTGTCACCAGGAGATTGGTTCGCCCAAAAACTGACTGATCTAAAAAGAGGAGACCAGCTTCTATATCGAGCGATTTTTTTTGATCGTCTGAAAAAAAAAACATCGGCTGCCGCCAAGGGCACGCGAAATCAGCACTGATTCTTTCTGATAAGGAAGGAAATGGTAGTTTTACTGAAAGGCATGGCAATAGAACGAAGCTGATCAGTTGTTTTCGCGAATTTCATGAGCTAAAATAGCGAACACGAAATTTTTCTGAATCACCGCCCGAGTCCGCCGGAAACTTGGGATACCGTATTTCCTCAGATATAACAAACGTCTTTTCACAAACGTCCAAACCGTGATTCGTTTGGGCCAACCATGAGCTCAAAATCCCAAAGTGTCAGTCAAGAATTTTTACGGTCGGGGTTTTTCCAGCCGGGATTTTGTTATTCGAGATTTTGTGCGTTGAGGTTTTGTTATTTATGATGCTAATCGAAAGGCGGTGAAAGTGATCGATTTTAACCCATGACAACCATTTTCGTATCTTTGCCGCATAAGCCGATCATATCCAATCTTGTAATATTTTTCGGGGGGTTTGCTTTTGAACCACTGATCGCAATTACCGTATAATAAGTTTGTAAAATGAAACGTTGAATGAAACGCTTTTTTATGTTTCTATGAATAAATTTCTATGTCTTCAAGTTTTCCTGCTATGTAATACTTCATTTTGCCTGAATGCTTTTAAAGCTGCCATTATCATTGTACGATTCTCTTTATTCCTATCAACAACATTTACAGGGTATTTTCGCCTCCGTCACACCAATTCTGTGTTCTCGTTGGACTCGTCGGTGTCGTCGTCCAAGTCGAGGAAGATGGGCCTCCGAAACTGAAAGTAATTGGTAAGCCGTGGCACTTTTATATTTTGCAAAGCTATATTTTTTAATAGCCTAACAAAAATAGGAAATTCCTGACCTTCTGTTTTTTAGGCGAGAACACCCGCGGCAGGTCGATGCGCGTCATTTCGTCGTCGTCATTGCATTGATGATAGATCTGAAGTTAGGATTGTACAAACGCTCAAAACCGTAGCCATACCTTTAGATACGGATCCGGTCGATTGTCAGGAAGGACGCCGGGTAGAAAGTCGTGATCGTCACCGCAGCCGTGGATTGTAAAATGGCCCTTGTCCTTGGTGAAGGCGGTTCTAGAATCTTGGGTAGCCATGCGGAAAAATTCGTGGTTCCATACGCAATGTAGTCGTCGTGATGGAATTTCGACCGGTGCCAAAGCGCGTCGGAGTCCCAGAGTTCCACCTAAATGTCGCAGATTTCACTACTGTCTGACGCAATGTTTCATTCAATACAGTTTCCAAAGTTTTGTGTATTTCCGGATTCGAAGGTTGGCTTTTAACTTATGACATGATCAAAATATAACCATTTTTATATTCGTTTACACCTCATGAAAAATTAAATAAAATGGGATTTTGATCCAAAATGTATGAGAAATTACCCAAAAATGCGGCCAAAGTCGTCGAATTTCCAAAAGGTTTGAAGATTTTTTGTACCTTCTTTTTGATTTTTTTAACGACCGCGAAAAACACTATTTATTATTAATCGGTCGGTATCTACCGAAAACGAAAACTTATTTAGCTTCCCCTGCAAAAAAATGCCCCCGCTAACAGGTCAGTGCCGACTCCTACGTCCCTTCAATGATCCTATTCCAGACTGACAATTTAACGCGTTTTGAAAGTAGCATCAATTTTTAATATATTTACGAGAAGCACTCATCGATTGAGTATCATACCTTGACTTGACGAGCCCGCTCCGGATGACGTTCACAAAACACCCTGCCGCTCACATGGATGCACTCGTAGCTGGCCAGCACGGGGACGCCGGCAGCGAGGAATATGAACAAAATAAAACGCATTTTTACAGTGAGTTATCGTGGACGAAAACTGACTGCCCGATAAGCAGAAACCATGGCTTTATACCGGCCATCCTGCGATCTACTTCCGAAGAAAAGGGCCGTCCCACAAAACTGATATCGTCAAAGTTTAGAACAGGTTCTCTCTGTTCTCTCTGATTCTCTCTGATTCACCCTGATAAGGAACTCTTAGTGAAAAATATGTGAATTCAACAGTGCCCTCATTTTAGCGATTTTCATTGGCTAAAACAGCCGGTCGCCAGCTGGAGACCAAAAACACCGACCGGATGCGTAACGCTTCATACTTCTGAATCACCGTCCAGAGGTCGCTGGAATTCTCCAGTACCTGCAGGATTTTTCAGAATCTGTGGGTTTTTTTGAGCCTGGGCACAATCATACGGATAAGCCGATTTAGAACGCGACGAACAACATCGACATCAGTGTTTTCCAGATTTTTTGGCACTGGAGTCGAAACTTATATGACATTTTTCCGACGGATTGACTTTTCCACCACCGATGGGAGGCGCTGGTGATTGCTGGGTAAAGGGATTTAGAGAATAAGAGAGAGAGAGAGAGAGAGAGAGAGAGAGAGAGAGAGAGAGAGAGAGAGAGAGAGAGAGAGAGAGAGAGAGAGAGAGGAATAGGGAGAGATTAGAGGAAATACTGTATTCTATTTCTCCACAGCAAGACTTTTAAAAGCATTTTACCAGCTACTGACAAGTCATGATTTGGCGGCTGTTGCCCAAAAAAACGAAGCCCAAGCTTTCGGCTCCTGGCACTCTTGCACAAATTTGATATGACAAATTTTCATTGCTTTAGGTTTTGCTTTCCAGGTGATGTTTTCCTCGTAAGAATGCCATGAAATCCGTCATTTTCATCCCGGGCGTTTATTTCCAAAAATTTAACTGGGTAACTGCGATTCTGTTACTTCCCTTCGACTTTATCGATAGTCCATTGATTGTTATAATTGCCAGCGTCGAGGTAGATGGGAGTACGGAACTGAAAGTGTTTTATAACACGGAAAAATACTTTTTATAGTCATCTGTTAATAAATATTGACACCTTTGTGTTATTAATTAATTAGATAATTGTAATTTTTAATCTACAGCTGCTCTACCTCCTGCTTGGTAGGGACAAACACCTGCGGCAAGTCAATGCGCATCACCTCTTCATTCTCGTTGCAATAATGTCGAATCTGAACGTAGTGTCCGAATAGTTAGAGACCGCCTTAATTGTTATTAAATTTCGACGATGTCATCTATACCCGGATATACGGATCCGGTCGATCAACCATCATTAGCAAGTCGTTATCATGAGCACAGCCAGTGATGGTAAAGTGGCCATTACCCTTGGTCTTGGTGGTCCTAAAACCATGCGTTGCAAGCAATTAATTATCCAGATAATTTAATGCCTATTACAGGTATAATTTATCGTTATAGCTCTACTGTAAGGTGTTTTGACCAAGGCTGGAAATTCCAGTCGCAGCCTGGCCTTACGTTTGCAAATATTTCGCTGCTCCGGAATCTTTATAAGAAACTGGCCGGAAAGGCCCAATAAAGTTACAGCGGCATTTCTTTCAATCAACCGGAAAATTAAAATGAAATTCACGAAACTGAATGCATAATGTTCAAGATAAAAACTGAATCAACTGAATTGGTTTACAAATGGGCCCCGTCCCGAATGGAATTTCCGACCTTAAAGGGATGCCGACGGCATCATCAATCGGTTACGCGCTGGAAAGAAAATGTCTCTGCGCCTCTCCCCTGGGCGCGCTCTCTCCCCTGTTGGCTACTTGCCAATTTGTTGATGGGGGGGATCGACACATGCCGTCGGCAGCCCTTTAATGAAAAACGAGATTTAAAGTATAGTAAACTCAAAGGATATAAGTTAAACTACAGTAAGCAGATTGTAGGGTAAATGAGAACATACGTAATGTAGTCGTCGTGATTGAAGCCGAACCGTTGCCAAAGCGCATCATACTCCCATAGATCCACCTAAAGGTTGTGGCATTAAATCCGGACATTCAGCATACAGAAAGCGTAATCCGATAGGTATCGGCAGGTAAGGTCTCTTACCTTCACCCGACCTCGCATCACCATTTCCGGGTCGCGCTTGCAAGCCACAGTCCCGCTCACATGGACGCATTCGTAGCTGCCCAGCACCGGGGCGGCGACCATGAGGAAAACCAACAAATGTGAGAGCATTTTGCAGGGAGTTAACGTCGTCGGAAACCGACTGCTCCAATAAGCTCATCAACAGGTTTTATACCGGCCCTCCGGCGATCTGCCTCCTAAGAAAACAACCGTTCCACAAAGCTGATATCGTCAAAGTTTACAACAGAACAAACAAATTCTCCCTGATTCATCCTGATAAGGAAATCTTAGCGAAAAATATATGAATTCAACGGAGCCCACATTTTATCTGTTTTCATTAGCTAAGAGAGCCGGTCGCCAGCTGGAGACCAAAAACACCGACCGGATGACCGCTTGATAATTTGGGGATTTGTCAGAGATCTTGGGTTTTTGGCTTTCTGCAAAACGATCCCTTCGGGTTCGATCCCCGTTTTGACAAGCGCCCTGGAACGTTTGCCTTCCAAAGCCTAAAAATTTTAAAACTTTTCTTTTGAAAAGAGGTATGGATTGTCGATGTCTTTCTGTATTATTTTTCTGTTTTCCGACCTTATATAATTTGGTCGCGTATTCATTAATATTTCCGAATTTAAAATAGTACTGGTTTTTAATTCATTAATTAATTATTTTTTATGCCTTCCGAATTTAACAGCTAGGATTGATTCAATTCAACATGTTTCTGATTGCGATGCCTGAGTGCGCGGGCGAAACGGCCACTGATTCGGACCTCGTTCGACTCCAGATGGATCACGCGTTGGAACTAAATAACAGTAAGAATTCAGGATTTCCGATATTACTAACCTCTTTGCCGGACACGTAGTCCGGAAACACGGTCAGCGTTTCGCCGCGCCCCGTGTTGCAGAAGTGGCGGATCTGAAAAATGGACTAGAATAGCTACAAGTCGCTCCGAACCGTCAAATAGGGATCCGGCCGGTTATGGCCCATAAAATCCGGGTCCGACGCGCAGCCGTAGATCACGAACTCGCCTTTCTCGTTGGTGTAGGTGAGTCTGAAGGGCAAGAGTATGGGGGTCGCTAGACAGAATTTTGATTGCGCCTAAACCTTCCCCTAGAAACGTCATTCGAATCGAAGTCATCAAACCGAAGCCTACCCCATCACCTCGTCGGCACTCAGCTCATCGATTCCCAGGAAGGTATCCGAGTCCCAAAGGACCACCTGAATAATGGAAGGCATGTAGCTAGCTACACAAGTCCGCATCAGGATGTACCAGGCTCGCTCGACTATGGTAGTGATCTCGTGGTACGCTAGACAATGCAATGGCACCGATGCGTAAAGTAATATTCTTACATCTATTTTTATTATTTAACCAGCGCCCAAAACCCGCTTCGCGGGCCTTGGGCGCTGGAATGCGGCCTTTGCATGAGAAATTTGACTTTACGATAGCTGGGGTCCTTCGGCCCCCTCGCTTCATCCGACCACACCCGCGCGTGCAACTGGCAAGAATGAGGAAATTTGTATTTCTTGGAATTATGCAAAGTAGCCCTCCCTGGCGCCGGACACACACACACACAAAGACAACCAATAATTATCCAAGGCCCCCCCCCCCGCCACACACACACACAAACACACACACACACACACACACACACACACACACACACACACAAAGATACGCGACCAAATTATATAAGGTAGGATTTTATTTTACTACTTAATTCAAAAATGCAATTTTCCTTAAAAATTAGAATTCTGACAGCATCTCCAACCTCAACGTGATGATGCTGCTTGGGATCCTTCGCGCAGGATAGCTGACCCTTCAGTTCGACGCAGCCACGTATCCCGAATGCTGGAGCGAATAGGCAAAAAGTCAGTGACAGCACCAGGTTTTTGAGCATGTTTTTCCGCAGGGGATCAAGAAAGAACCGAAACTTCAGCTGCGACGCTTCTTTTTATTGGCGTTTTTTCGGTGCCCCGACGAAATTCTTGATTTCCAGCCTGCTCCAAGCAGCACTTTGTGTGTCATGCTGATAAAAAAACCATTTTCAGAGGAATCCGTTGGCCCGATGAAAAAAATTTAGCCTCGGCAAGACCTTCCGCAGGATTATAGATTGCCGAATACATATGGCCTAGCAAAATAATTCGCGAAATAGGTTTAACAAGAATCGTGCGGAGAGCGTTGCTCTTTGTTTTGTTCAAAGATTTGGGTGATGTTGCAATTAGGCATCTGGCAAGCCCCCCCCCCCGCGGTGGTGCCTTCCCAAGCTGATTTCGTGGGAAATCAACCTTGCCAAATCGTTTTGAATTGTGCATCTGAAAAAGCACCAAAAATAATACCGAAAAAGGCTTGGTACAAAACTTGGGAGACTCTAGTGTAGGTGCTACGATTTTTCGAAGTGTTCACTTTTTGTCGTTTTGGAACAAAGGGGGGTTTGAACCAGGTCGATTTTTCGAACATTCGCAGCAGTCTGTCGAGCTCGTCAGAACTGAACTGGACTCATTCGAACCGGCTTGGGACGCTGATTCTGATTGCTTACTGGCTCGAAAACTCTACTCGACAATCGTGGTTTCGTTGATTTTGATTTTTCTTAATCAAGTTCTTATTTAAAGGCGTACTTTAATAACAAACTTTCGAACATTAAAGAGCGGCGAAAATAAAGGTGTTCTAAACAAAATCGACCCCCTCTAGCGATTCGGAGAAAGGTCGAATCTCGAAGATTTTTGTGAATATTCGAAAGTCGCGAAAATTTGAAGAAGGCATGGATTGTCGACGTTTTGCTGTGCAATTTTTTGTTGTTCTTTGTTAGTTCAGAATTTTATTGCCGACATTCTTTTAATTGACTGTTTATTACTATTTACAAATTTAACGGCTAGGATTTATTCGACGTGCTTATGTTTTCGATGCCGCAGAGCGCGGCTGAATCTGCCACTGGTGCGGATCTCGTGGGCCTCCAGGCGAATTGGGCGATGGAACTAAATAAAAGGGTATCGCTCAAATAAGTACCTAACAAGTTTATCCTTGAAATTTATTGCTGGAAACGAAGAATAAATGTAGTACGAACCCTCTGTGCGCCGGGCATGAAGACCGGATGCAGCGGCTCAGTCACGACTTCTCCTAGCCGCGTGTTGCAGAAATGGTGAATCTGAAATCGAACTAATGTAGCTACAACAAGCTCCGAACCCGCAAATACGGATCCGGTCGGTTAGTAAAGAGCACAAAGTCCGGGTCCTCCGCACAGCCGTAGATTTCAAACTCGCCTTTCTCGTTGGTGTAGGAGACTCTGAAAAACGTAAAAAAATTAAATTTAACGTATAAGGCGGGCCATCATTTGTTTGGATTTTTAAATTAAAAACGATCAATTTAAAAACACGAAAAATATTTCTGAAGCCATGCTCGTAGTTTTCGAAGCGAGATTAGAACCGAAGTCGCCTAACCGAAGCCTACCCCATCACATCATCGTCGTTCAGCCCCTCGATTCCCCACAAGGCATCCGAGTCCATAACGGCCACCTGAATAATCGAGACGAAGTATAAATCAATTAATAGTATTTTATGCTTTTTTCGATCTAATAACTAATTACACAATTGTAAAACGGTAAGACTTTACTTTACCCCCCGGCAGCCGAAGGGCCTCAAAGTTTTCGGTATTCTCGCAAATTTTATCGGGATTTTTACAACGCCGTTCAATGGTGCGTCTAAAACTATACTAAGAATTTGAATTTGACCCTACAACAATGTAAAAAAGTTAAAGCTATAACATTCCGGCTGGCGGGGGGGGGCATTAATTTAAGTGTGGCCCAAAAAAAATAACTGTTGATAGGGGTTTATAAGAATCCTGGGATTCTGATGCTGGGGTACTGTGGACCATGACAGCAATGAGCAAATAAAGAAAATGTTGTAAGACAACCCAAACCTGAACGTGATTATGCAGGGTGGGATCGTTCTCGCAGGAGACTTGCCCCCTCAGCTCGACGCATTCATGAGTCCCAAATACCGGTGCGAATAGACCGAAAGTCAGTGACAGCACCAGTTTGTTCAACATTGCTTTTGCCGGAGAACTCGGAAAAAACTGAACTTTCGGCTCCGAGGGGCCTTCTTATAGCCGTTTTTTCTGTGTCCCCACGAAATTCTGGATTTCCAGCCCGCCCAGGCAGCACTTCATGACTCATGCTGATAAAAAACGATTTCGGCGGAATCGGTTGGCCGTGAATAAAATTCTGATATCATTTCAACAGTTTCCTTAGCTAAAGCGTTGGTCGCCAGCCAGCGTCGGAACACCCGACCGGATGCGGAACGCTCGATAATGCTGAATCACGGTCCAGAGGTCGCTGCAATCATTACATCATCTGCAAAATGTTTGAAAGTCCGTGCTTTTATTAGAATTTTCGGGCCTCTTTCTTGACCTTAAAGGGACAAAGAAGTCAAGGTTCTTGTGATCAGGAACCGACGTCTAAAAAATTGAGGGGAATTCCGTTTCCTTTTTAGTTTATTATGGTGCGAAAAAATGCAAAATATTTCTCAAAAAAAAAGGGAAACTAGCGAAAAACTCTCGTTTGTAGATGTTTTTCTGTATTTTTTCGTTATTCATTTTTATTTCCGATTCTAATATTAGTAATTATTGTTAATTAATTATTTTTTTACTGTGTACAAATTTAACAATTCGGATTTATCCAACATGCTTATGTTTTCGTTGCCTCAAGGCGCGGCCGAAGCGGCCACCGGCGCGGGTCTCGTTCCGCTCCAGTCGGATGACGCCCAACTAAACAACTTAGTAAATAAGTATAAATTAATTTGAAAAATGTGTTAATTTTACCCGAAGGTGCAAAAAAGGATTTTAAAGGCTCTCAGAAACTTTCCGCCCGATCGGTACCAACCTCCTGCATGGTGGGCATGAACACCTGCGGCAGCTGTAGTTTCACCTTTTCTCCAAGAAGCGAGTTGCAGTAGTGGCGGAACTGTAAACGAACTTAGAAAACTACAAGTGGATGACCCGCACCGTCAAATAGGGATCCGGCCGGTTATTAATGAGGACCGGCAAAAAGTCCGGGTCATCCGCGCAGCCATAGACCAGAAACTCACCTTTCTCGCTGGTGTAGGTGATTCTGAAGTAGGCAAAAACGTTTAAAATTCAATTTAAAAGGCAGGAAACCATTTTTTGAAAATCCATTTATGCAATTTTATTAAGTCATGTTTTCGAAAAATCATATTTTTGAAAATCGGTTCCGCGAAAGTCGGTTTTCGAAAACCAGCATTCCGAAAAAATTGCCACCTATTTCGAGTTCCGTTTATTTCGCATAGCGCCATTTCGCATGGAAGCCGATACTTTCAAACCGAAGCCTACCCCATCATGTCATCTTCGTTCCACCCGTAATACCCAACCGGATTTAACAAGAAAAAATCCGCGTCCCAAACGGTCACCTGAATACTCAAGAATAATCACAATCTTGAATTTTCAAGATCTCGAATTTTCAGGATCTCGAATTGTCAGAATCTCGAGATTTCCATAGTATGAATCAACTTTATAAGCTGCAGGAATTGCAAGCTAACACCCTGCATCTAGCCTGTTTAAAATTTCCAAATCCTTAAAATTCGACATACTGAAAATGCAAGATTCTGAAAACTCGGGATTTTGAACATTAGGGATTCGCATTTGGAGATTCTGTAATTCGAGATTCTGATTTTCGAAATCTTGACGGATCGGGTAGACCCTATAAAAACCAAAGCGGTTTTTCGACCCTAGTGCGCCATCCAAAAAATTTTTGGCAAGAACCATACCAACCTCAATGTGCGCATGCAGCCTGTGATCGTTGGCGCAGGAAAGCTGTCCGCTCAGTCCGATGCATTCACGCCTCCCGAACGCTGAAACGAATAGGCCGCAAACCAGTGACAGTATGACCAGCATTTCGATAGAGATCTCGGACAAACCCGAACTCACAGCTCCGACCCCGCTTCTTATCGCCGTATATTCGGCGCCACGACGGAACTCTTAATTTCCAACCCGCCCAGGCAGCACATCGTGTGTTTATGCTGATAAAAAAACCATTTACCGGGAAATTCGTTGACCCGATGAAAAGAATTTAGGCGCGGCGGACGACAAAAAATTTCTTCCGCCGGACTATGGATTGCTGAATACGTATGCCCTGCAAAAACAATTTGGGAAATAGGTTTAGCAAGAAAACCGGCGCCAAAAGCCTTCCTCTGACGGTTTAGGGGTCTTACGGTACAAGTCTATAGGGAGGCCCAATAAAAAACGCCCCTCTAACTCGACGCAAAAGTATCGGATCGGAATGATATGTTCACCATTCGAAAGCCCTTGAAATGGCAAGTTTGCAACAATTTTAATAACCATGTTTTCATTTAAACGCGTATTTTATAACTCATTTAAAAAATTAAGGAACGGTCTCCAGCTAATCAACGGTAACTTCAGGCCATTTTGTTGGAGGAACCTGAGGCAAATTAGTTCCCAACCAACCCCGCAAAACCGCAAAATTCTACAAAATAGCTTCCATATACGCCATAATCAATAAAAAACAAGACTATGAGGATTGTTACAAACTCGCCGTTTCAAGGGCTTTCGAATGGTTTAACTACCATTGCGTTCTGGTACTGCTGCTTCGAGTTAGAGGGGTGTTTTTTATTGGGATACTGTGTTGTAGGTGTCATGAATTTACACGAAAATTTAATCCGAATTTAATTGTTAATTTCACGTTGCTTTTTTGCGAAAACAACACCTAGGAAACCCTCTCTGTCCATTTCTAGGCAACGCCGGGCTTGTTTACTCCGCAGAAAGAGGCAATGAAAAGACCGGTCGCCGCGCCGGTCCGGAAAAACAACACGCCTTGCACTATGCGCCCGGTTCGATCGAGACTGTGCTTTGTATTTCTGTATGGATTCTTGAGCATGAGCTTTGTTTTATGCGGTTTTGAGGTTTACGGACTTCATTAGAAATGGTGGTTTTGTGTTTTTAGATAAAAATTGCAATTTAAAATATGTTCTTTCTTATATATATTTTACAAAAGTTCAAGGATTTTTACAGTTTGTAGTTTCTCCCCTGCTCAATTTTCAGATGCTCCGCTCAAAAGCCATTCCCCAATGCTTTCTGCTAGCCCGGGGTCTATCCAGCCGACATACCCCAGGTGACCTACCGGTCCCATCTCATCCGGACGCCAAGAAGAAGACCGTCGACTCGATTCTGGGAGTGCAAGATGAGAAAGAGGTTAGGCATCCTTTTTGAAATTCCTACAGAAGTTTTAGAAAAGGTTTGTTGAAGTTCGTCACGAATCCGCTGCCGAGGCGGCAAGTATCTCTGGGGTGCCAATGGAGCACCTGGTGCGGTTAACCCTTTTTTAAGATTTATAAACAGCCAGAAGCATTTCAAGTAGTTTTTTATCGTTTTTGAATGCAAAAATTTGTTTGGAATTGCTCTTCAGGCCGGACGTACTGTGCGCATCTACCGCCCGGCTCGAGGGACCTCACAGGCGGCTTTTGGCAGGTCTACTGATGTAGGTCATAGACACAAAATGTTTTCAGGTCTTTGCGTAAATATTATATAAATATAATAGTAATAATAAATAATAAAACAAGCGAACTAACTTTTTAGTTTTTAATTTATCGAATCTTCTCGCTTCCAAGCGTTTTTCAGGTCTGGAAGATTGAGTTCGACTCGCGGGAGCGCTGGGAGAACCCGTTGATGGGATGGGCTTCTAAGTGAGTGTTAGCGGTAGCTGGACATAGTAAAATTGCCAAAATTAAAAAAATATGATGGTCAAATTGATAAAATTATTTAGCGGCGACCCCCAATCAAACACCAGCATGATGCTCACATTTGCATCTCGGGAAGATGCCATACATTTTGCCGAGAAGAACAATTGGCAATGGGAGGTCGAGGTCAGGCTCATAACTTATTTTTTTTTGTTAATTAACTAGGTCATAAAAATTTCTAAAATACAAAGATGAAAATTGAAGTGCAAAAAATCAAAAATTGCTGCTATAAAAATTAATAAAAATTTGTCATAATTTTAAGTAATCGAAGTTATTTGAAAATACTATATAAAATCAGCTAAAAATCATTAACTTGTTTTAACAAAAAACAATTATTTAGAAAGAACAACTCCGCGAGATCCGCCCAAAAAGCTATTCCTGGAATTACGCGTGGAATAACAGAAAACGGGTCTCAACCAAGTAAAACATTATTTTTGCGTTTTTGTGATAGCATTTTACATTCCATAAATTGTGATATTTCTTAGATTTATTCAAAAGTAAATATTATAGAAAATAATAATAGTACAAGTGGAATGCCCTTCATCGGAAAATTCCATAAATTATCGGCAGTCAATCGACAAAACAAATTTGGCTCTCTTCACGGCGTTTCTCACACAGCTTCTCCTAGAGTTGCGGGGCCCTCAGAATGAGGCGTCGGTCCTAAAAATGTAATTTTTTCATGATTTTGTTTTGTAATTTTACGGTCTATTCCCGATTCTAGAGAGTCAAGAAGAACATAGAGGGGATCTGACAAAACTTACCCTTCTTGCCTGGGAACTAGAGAATTTTGGTAGAGTAAGGAGGCTTCGAGAATTGGTTTTAGGGCATATTCGGACTCTAGGCTTTTTAAGAGAATGTTTTATAATGGTTTTAGCTATAGAAATAGCTTTTTTAGTTTTATATAGATTTTAAAGAGTTGGATGTCATTGTTCCTTTAGATTGATCCAAAAAAAAGGGAACAAAAGCTAGAATTCTACCTGGCATGATGCCTACTGGAAAACCAACCTTCCCGGTCCATGAACGAACTCTCCCTCAGTGGTGGGAGAAAAACGTTATTAGATATAGAATAGGGTCGCTTAGAATCTGATTATTACTCCAGTTAAAGAGATTTTATAGAGATCCGCACAGATCGCAGGTTTGGCATGACGCACGATATTGTAGTACGGTACGATTGGGGTCCGGGGCTTTCCCTATTTATTCGGCCTGGCCGTAATAGGTGGAACGCGAGCAGGACCGTACTAATTGGGGATAGGCCGGGGGACGGCGGCAGTTGGCTAGCCGAACCCTTACATAAAAAGTCCGGAGGATAGACAAAGACATATACCACCAAATTTCATTCACCAACGCTAGTTGTGAAATAGCGCTAAGGGTATAGTCGCGAGAGTCCCCTAAAGCTATAAGTCTGTATACCGGAGGATTTACATTCATTTCGCCGAATTTTAATCTCGTCGAATTTTCATTTCGCAGAATTTCATAGCTCAACCAACCTCCGATCCTCCGACAAAATCTTGTGCTAAACGTCCGGCAAAACCGAACCCGGGACGCTGGCGTCGGGCAGGCCATTTAGACCACTCGGCCATGGGAGAGACGAGCGAGGGGGAGGGGGGGAAGGGCTATGAAGGGTCGGGGGACGGAATGTACCTTTAACCATTGGCAGTCATCATCCCTTTAAAGCTATTTTACATTTTAGCTATTTTTGATTAGCTTTAGACATTTTTGATCGTTTGGCCATTAATTATAAACTTCGGGTGTTTGAATTTAATATCCCTTCCCTTAAACTCACTGATCATCGATCCGCACCGCTTCTCCCTCACACAGAATCGTCCCAAATGACACGCGCCGTCCACGATTATGCGGCGCAGCCAGGGAATTTGTCGTTGGCGAGGAAACTTTCCCGGACGGGAAGGAGCCCATCTAGAAATTATGGTTTTCTACAGTATCTTGAGAATTTCACAACTCATGGGACCAGGTCCCGGAAAGCCAACAGAAAATAAAAGTATCTGCCATTTCCATGCAATTCAGAGATCGGAAAAACTGAGGATATTCCTTGGGGGAAAACGCATAGCCTTGAACTCTGGCTTACCCCGGCTATGCTGAAGCTGCGGACCTGCTGGAAATCGGGAGGGTTTTCGGTTTTGAGAAGAGAATTTTGGCAATTTTAAACTATATTAAAATTACACATGAATTCTTTTCAGCATAGTTATAACTCTAGATTCGCTTTCGATTTTGGTAATATTTCGCGTTTGGTAATACTCGAGAACTCGTGGTTAATTTGGTAAATTATGTTTTTAGTTTTAAGGTATCAGTCAGTAGTTTAGTCAGTATGCTCAGATTTCTCAAAAACACGTTTTGTGATAACGTAAACTTCGTCGCAAAGTGCAATCTACGAAATACAGTCTTGTAAAAAAATCTAAATGTGCAAAAATAACGTGGTGTGGTGATAGAAGCCGTCACATTATAAGTTTTTTTGTGCAATTTGCTTACCTTTTCTGGGATCTGTGCCGACATCCCGCCATTCAGCTTTTCAAAGTGATTAGGCGAAGGTGGAGTCTGAGAGCAGAGCTCGTGCAGGTTTGAGGGAACGTATTCTAAAAATCATGTCTAGGATCGTAGGATGCCTATACAGCGAATCACCGAATTAAATCGAAAAGACCATTAAATTATCTTTACTTACCTGGAAACAGCGTCTTCACCTCGACCTCATGGATGATCGACCCGAGCCGGAAGCCGACTTTGCCGAATTTTTGTAGTGTGCTCATGAAAAGTGTCAGGTCAAAGACTCGGCAATCAACTGGAGGGATGAATAAAGAGCTGCCGAAGGGGATCAGTTCGATCTAAAGGAGCAGCGGTTGGACCACATTTTTTAGATTCAATCTCGGCTACGGTTTGCTTTACCCCCCCCCCCCCACCGCCGGAAGTTTTTGGCTATAACTTTTTTATTTTACATTATTGTAGGCTCAAATTAAAACTCTTATTATATTTTTTGACGCTCTATCGAATGGCGTTGCAAAAATCCCGACAAAATAAGCGAAAATACCGAAAACTTTGAGACCTTTCGGCTGTGGGGGGGGGGGTAAAGTAAACTCTTACCTCAATCTCTTTTTTTTTTCGAATAGATTGGAGAGATGCCAATTAATTGCA